TATATCAAGTTGGTAATTGTTTGCGAAGTCTATTATTTGTTGTTGAGTCATCATATTGTTTAGGCCTTGTACATTTAGTGTTCCAATTTGTATGAATTTTTGTAAGTTAGGGCTTTGTATTTCTGTCAGTTCTGAACTTGATGTAAGAGAATTATCATTTGTTTCTGGAATATCTGTAGTATAATCTGAAATATCAGTTATGGAAGGGGGTGTATTGATTTGATTGTTGAATATAAATTCTTCTATTTCTTGATTCCGTTTAATGGAGTCACTGATTTCATTTTCTTCTATTGAGTTGTTTGTGAATTCAGAAAAAAGGGAGGTAAGGGAAAGGTCTTGATCAGAATCCCAAATGTTGTTATTTTCGTCATTGTCATTGTTGTAATTGTGGTTTATTATTGAGGTATGTGGTAATGTGTGGGTTGGGCCATAACCTCCTTTATTAGATTCTTTATATTTTCGTGATAAATTGTTGGTGGTGAAACGATTTAGTGTCTTAGTTCTGTTTTTTTTTTTATTATTCTTTATGTTTTTGTTAAATGAACGACCGTGGTCAGAATTTTGACCCTTATTTGTTTTTTGTTTGTATTTTGTAGTTCGCTTATAAAGCGAATTGGTTTTCGGAAAAAACCATTGTGTATTTATTAGTATCTTGTTGGATACGAAAAAACTCTTTTGGGAGTTGTGCGAAGTTATAGTATTGATGAAGTGTTTTGACAGTTTGGTTAATTTTTGTTTTATCTGTTATTGGGAGTATTACTGTTTGTTCTGTCTTATTTGCTAGGTCGATAATTACTCTATCTATTGTGGGGAGTTCATCTTGTGGAGTATATTTGGCTAAAATCCAGTCTTCTGGGATTCTGTCAAACTTGTAATGCTGTCTTAATTGTTTGACTGTTTGTACTATTTGAGTTTTGTTGATAGGTAGATTGATATTAGCTACTCTATTGACTGTATTCATATTTGTAGGAAGAGGAGGTCTGTTGTCTGCTTCTAAATCGATCCATTCTTTAGAGAGTTTATTGGTTGTAAATATATATTTTTTCCTCAATGTTTCTGTTAAGAATTTTATATCTTCTTTTCTGGTGATTGGCAAAGTGATATTTAATGGGAGATCTGATATGTCTACTTGATTAGGATGTTCTGGTAATTCAGTATGATTGAAGAAATATGAGTTTGGTAGTTTATCCTTGATCTTGTATTCTTTTCTCAATGCATTTAGAATGTCGTAGAACGAGATACCATCTGAGACTGTTGCTTTGTTCCATGGAAGATATTTTTTGATGTCTTCTTTCACGTCGTTGTAGTCTTGTGGTAGTTCTGGTTTTTCTTTTATTTGTATATAGTTATTTGGGAGTTTCGTAGGTAAGGTATAAAATTTTCGTAATTCTTGTTTGTATTCGTTTATTTCTCTCATTTGCTCTTTAGTTTGTATTGGCAGTTTTGTTTTACATAAGATTTCATTTCTTAGGTTGATGAAGTCTTGTGGTAATGGTTCTTTTGGGCAATAGTATTCAATTGGTAATAAGCCAAAGTCATACCATTTGTGTAATACTTGTAGTACTTCTGTTAAGTGTGTGTTGTTTCGAAGTGGAAAGATTACCTTTGGAAGTTCTGTTACTGTTTCATTATACAAACTGTTTGGATCTTCGGGTAATGGATGTTTGGCTGATTTGAATTTATAGAAGTGTTTTACACATTGTCTGGTAAATTGGTTATAATTAAATTCTATTTTGTTGGGTCTTTTGTATGGTGGTAGAATGAAATTGATTGTGTATATTATGAGTTGGGCCATGTCTCTTCCTCCCCAATTTTTTGAGAAATCTATACTGTGTAGGTAGCACCACATAATCTTTGTTCTTAAGTGATCTCGTAACTCACTATGAAGTTGGGGGGAGAGAGTTTCTTCATTGTTAATGTCGTTTTTGTCTTTGAATTGTGTAATTTCTTTCTCTAGTAATGTCAACCATTCTTTTATGTGGTCTGGAGCGTCTTCTAAGTTGTTTGGTGGTTTACGAAATATTGCTTTGTCTTTGTTGTATTGCGAAAGGAAAGCCCTTAGTGCTTCTTTTTCAAAGGGAACTACGCTTCTTTCATGGTTTGTTAAGTAGTTTAATAGTATTAAAGCATTTCTGGGTTTGGTCAAATATTGTGTATAGTTGTTTATTGTGATTGGTGGTAAATTGTGAATGGAAGTTTCTAGGTCATTTTCTGAATTTAGATTTTGTGTATCGTTAGTGATTATATCTGGAAATCTTTGTTTTGTAATTGGTATTGTATTTGTGTTGGTTGCATGTTTGTTTTGTTTTTCTTGCATATCAAACCAGTTTTGTGTTTCATAGTCGCGTCGCGTAACTGGTGTTCTTTGTTTGTCGGCTGAATTATTTGCCTGTTGATCATTTTTAGGGGGTGAGAGTGTTACGCGTTTTTTTGGGGGTGCTGGAGAATTTTCGCGAGAAGAATTAGAAGAAGTGTTTATTGAAGTATAGTTTGTATTTTCTAAGATGACTGTTTCTTCTATTGAGTTGATGGCATTAATATATAATTCTTGGTCTTCCTGGTTGAGTGTTATGTTGTCCATGCTATTTGTTGCTTGCTTTATTCTTTTTTGTTGTAAATAAGAAGGAATAGTGTCAAAGGTTTGAGCCACGGCTGTAAATTTTCTTGTGTTGTAAGAGATATTAATACTGTTAAAGGTAACCAACACTGCGTATTCAGGGTTATCGATAATATTTTCTGTGAAAGTAGTTTGTTTCCGTTGTTTATAAGTTGTGAAAAGGAAAAAAGTAGGAAATTCTAGGACTCTTGGAAGTGTAGTAGTTTTTCTGAAAATGTCATGTTTCGTAACTTTGTTTGTTTTTTGGTCTTTCAAAAAGAGGACTGCTAAGGCTTT